AGTGCTTGAAGGCAATTACCTGCAAGCACTGTTCAAGTATTATCCACAAAAAAAAAAATTGGCTTCAGTTCGACTTTTAAGGAACTCAAAGGGGTCTGTTTATAAAAGAAAAAAATGATATAGCTGTTTGTTCAGTGAGACTGCAGGTACATTTGTTTTGTACGAATTAGCCAGCTGTTGTGAGAATGTGGCAAAATCAAAATGTTCTTAAAAGAGAACTATGGGGTGACCTTTTTATCCCATATAGTTCTCTTAAGGGTCACGGGAGGACATATACTAACCTCCTCCCGTGACCCAAAGCTCAGTATATATCGCAAGCTATATACAGGAGAGCACCGCAGGCGCAGCAGATTCCGACAATGCTGTCGAGATCTACCCAGCTGATTGACAGCGGGACCTCTGCCTCTAGCTATGCCCACCCCCTCCCCATCCATTCATCTAGTCAGCGCTGGAGGATCGAAGAGTGGAGGGGGAAATCCCTGCAGGGACTGACAGTCCCCACTTTCTGCATGGAGAGGATCGGAAATTGAGCGAGCGACTGTATGTGTTCACTCACTTCAGTGGCTTCACAAGGGGGTGCGGCCCGCACCCGGGTGACACCATTAGAGGGGGTGACAGGTCACGGACCGAACGCCCAACAGTATCAGGAGAGAGGAGGGGACCCGGCGGCATACCTTATCCCGCCGGGTGACTGTCCCCTCCTCTCTCTGCCGGCGTCCATCACCAAGATGGCCGCCGGCAGGTATCAGAATACTGCCGCGCGTGCGCAATGACGTCATCGCGCACGCGCGTGGTGACGTCATGCGCAGTGACGTCTCGGCGGGGTGACACTGGGTTACCGCTCCGGGTGTCACCCAGCCTCGGGACGCCCCTGACTCACTTCCCGATGCATAGAGCCGAAGTGTGAGTTTCATTGTCCCCAATCAGCTCTAACTATGAGGATGAGTGGAAAAAAATAATCACTCACCTCATAGTTCTCCTTTAAGGTTATTTTCTCTTCTGAACAAAATGTTCTTCAAATATTATCGCATTAGTGAATTGGGAAATGACCACATTATAGCCACTAGATGGCACTGATGTTTACACAAAAATAAATACATCTCAATAACATGATACAATGTAACAATTCCAGAGAACACTGGTGGGAATTAGCAGCTAAATGTAACCATTGATACTATGGGGATCCAATAACAAACTTATGTCTTTTACTCCCTTTCAGTCTGTTAAATATACCATTAAAAGCTTTTTGTCATATGTTTGGTAAAGCTGAACTTCAGGTATACATTTTTATGCATACTTACTTCGGTTCAGCTTGGCCCTATGGAAGTATGCAAATTTTATACCTGGTTGGATCTTGTAAAATACTGTCACAGCCAGGACTACTACAGTGCTTTAAAGCAATCTTCTGGGTCCTGTATGGCGCTGTGCTGAGAACCTTTCCACCTGTTCTGAAATGACAGGACGCTCACTCGCGCAACGCCCATTCAGAGAATGCCTATTTTTTTATCAATGCAAGGTGTTCACTGATTAGATAAGGAGTAGTGACATCATGATTCTTCCTGTGCTCTCTGCCTCTACACAAGGAGGGGTTATGGAAATGGAGAGGAGAGGGAGATGGAGTGGTCTGTCCTTTGGAATTTAGACCCAAAAATACACTTGTTAATAAGTCATAGAAGGTAGGGAACCCACTTTATTTCTGGCGCACGAACAGGTTTTTTTCTGTACTTGCAGTACTTCTGTAGGGATAAAATGTAGCAATATATATTTATTATATATATTTTGTAATTTTGCCTTGATATATGATTTAAATAGACCTGTCATGAAAAAGAGGCCTTTCATCACTCATCTCCTTATGCAGAACCACTGCCTTTAATAATTTCAGTCACTTACCTGAAAATAGCACACATGCTATATCAGTTAATCAGTTCAGGTCATGGACTCAAAATATTTAAACAAGGAGGTCAGCATGAAAGCCAGCCAACTAGCATACAGTATATTTAAGGATGAGGGGGGGAAAAAAAGCAGGAACTAGGTTTCTCTCATGAGCGGTTGACATTAACTTTATCTGCCAATATATGAAACTACACTTTGTAATGCATTGATGAAGTGGACACAAAGAAACATTTTAAAAATAGTTAAGAGGATTTTATTTGACTGCACCAATTTCAATGTGTACAGAATATAAGTTTGTGTTAGGGTTAGCATAGATTCTATGTTTCACCTGGAAGAAGTATGGGTCTAAGCAGCATCTGGGCTTCAGCAGGAAGCCTTGTAGAGGTATGGGTTTAATCATGGTCGTCAGATCCTCTTCACTGGCAACAGTTAGTGGTGTAAAAGCAGATAACAAAAGCAATATACCGTGATAACTGTAGTCCATAAACATACAGAGGTCAGGACAGCCAGCATTCAGGTAGACCAATTACAGAATCCAGAAGATTTAAGCCATAACCAGAAAACGAGCATTAGGTCAAAAACTAAAAGCACCTCAAACTAATAGTAGGAACTAGGGATGCACTGATAGCTATACTTGTATCGGTGCTGATACTTTGTAATAGGCCAAATGCTCCGATACTTACCCTCGATACTGGAACTTACGATCAGAGGGAGATCTCAGAGGGAGCCAGAGTGAGGGAGCTGCAAGGGAGCCGGCTTCCCGGCCAATCGGGAAGCCGGCTTTACTCGTTGCTAAGCAGCCTGGCTTCCTGACCAGTCAGAAAGCCGGGAGGCGGGTCATGACATGGCACCCGACTACCCGATCGGTCAGGAAGCCAGGCTGCCTAGCAGAGTCACATCTTTCAATAGAACACTGGCTTCCCAGGCAATCAGGAAGCCGGGTGGCGCGTCCTGAACTGCCGCCAAGCTTCTTGATAATTCAAGCCAAAGGATGCTGGTATCGGTATTGGCGAGTAAAAAAAAAAAAAAAAAAAAAAAAAAAAACTATTCTGGTAAGGAGTGCAGCTGGTTCTTGACTACATGATACCGAAAAGAAACGCATCAGTGCATCCCTAACAGGAACTTTGGTAAGGAGCTAAAATGTATATCTGGTACCAGAAGTTACATCGACAGAAGGTACCTTAAAGCTGACCCAACCTTGGCTAAAAATCACATCAGCATACAGCTCTGCATGCCGATATGAAATTATCTTAGATTTGTTAAACAAACATTTTCATTTTACTTACAATTTATTGTTTTCTACTTCCTGGTTCCCTTTGGTAAAAGTGGTATAATGTGCCCAAGAAATGCATCCTGGGAAGGTTACATCAGCAGTGCATTACTTGGAAATCTCACAAGATCTCAGGGAAAGGCATTTTCTTCCCCTGAGAGGATGTGCATGGTCACATGTCCGTCACATGTGCCAGAGTTACAGGAAGTAATAGGAGATCTAGTAACCTGCCCGTAGTAAAAATGGCCACTGTGAGAAGACTGGGGAAGAAAAGGGAAACAAGGTATGCAAAGAATACAAAGCCGACAATTATCTAGAAGTATGTGTTTATAGATTGCCATTACTAAACATTTCTAAAAAGGTGCCTTTGTTGTTATTTTGAAGATATGGGTAAAACTGAAATGATGCAATTGTCCACATAGACAGACACCTAGACCCCAGTTAAAACTGATTGAAATCAATGAGTTTCTCAGGCAAGACCTGCGTCACCTCCCCACAAAGCTGAAGAAAGCCAAGCATGTCAGATTCCTTCAGTGGCCCTTGGACATATCTGTATCTTGATCAAACCGTAGCTTACCTGAATGGATGGCAAGCATGTCTACAAAGACCTTAAAAAGGGACTTCAGTGGTTTTGTAAATATTTCTTTTTTTTTTATTTTTTTTACAGCAGGTTAAAAAAAAAAGAAAATATCTGGTTTCTCATTTTTTTTTGTTAGGTTAAGTAATTTGAAATATGGTGTATTAATACTATGCAGTCTTGTATCCTGCCAGCAGATAGAGCTTTAGTCTCCTTTGCTAATACTTTTCTGTTACAGCTTTCAGATATGTTGAACAATTTGTACAGTGACTCAACATGCATCAGACAGCCAAGTAAAAAGTTTTAATTAGACAAACATGTGCTTTGAGAATCCTTTGTCGGATACATGTTTATTTTTTTTAAATAAATATTGTATGCTTACAATCTATATATATATTTATGTATTAAACCTAAAATGACCGCTGAAAAGTATAACTGAAAAAAAACCCTACTATTCTTTGACCAAAAAAAACATTATGGTATCCCTTAAAATAAACACACAGACTGTTGTGTGCTAATGGAGGCTCACTCAGAACATACAAGCAAACAAGTGCTAACTGCAGGCAGTATATTCAAGATCCAGAAGTCAAAACTAACTGTTAAAGGATATGTTATTGAGGACATTTACAAAACTGGTTACAAAAAAAATGGAAATTTAAAAAGATAGCAACCAGTATTTTTGTCGCCAACTCCTTATAAAACAAATGATGAATCCCAAATTGTTTGCAATGTCTATTTGTTCCAAATTTACTGCACATTTCTGTCTTCCGGGTTCCATAACTCATAACCTAAACTTGCATAAAAAGCGTGCAAGGTAAAAGCAGCTGTTTAAGTACAAATGTCTTCAATTCAATTCTGTAAAGCCCCTGAATCCTAGGCACATGCTGTGCAATGAGCCCTGAATCCTATAAGCTCTGCCTTCTCCCATCACTAAGCCACCCTTCTGTCATTCAACTGTAAAATGCCATTGCCTCACTGGCCAATAGTGGCCTTTCATAGTAGGGGATGCTTAGCATTTGGAGGGGGTGTGCCCTAATCTCAACAAGGACAGAAGCCCTATATATGGCATTGGACTACACAATCCAGAAGTTTCAAGGCACTTTCCACGAGGTTCACCATTGCCTGTACAGTGACTAGCTCTTACTATTTTTAAGTTCCATAATAACTCTGTTGCTGGAGATTTACTCAAGCAGACCCTCACCAAAATCTTCTCAAATGGTTAGAATATTTGACCCTTGCAGCAAACAATCAGAAAACATATTAATGTTGGTAGAGGAAGGTTCAGTGTTCCAGTTACAGTCTGCTTCTAGGCACATTGTTGAGAAGACTACTAATGAAGCTGTTCAGGGTTTCTGTATACTCTTCTGTATGTCTTCTTAAATGTGCTGCATGAATGGAATTTTCCCATTTCTTTCCCTGCACTTTGATCCCTTGTTTCTCCCAGAAACGCAGAAGCTCTTCCACCATTACATGATCGCTCATTGGGTCATTTAGACAGTAGAAGAATAGGGCTGGGCAGGGGATAGGTTTGTCCCAGAAAGCTCTAATCCCCTTCTCATAATAATCTGTCGTTTGAGCCTTTAGTAGTGAAAAGTAGAGAAGCGTTCCTCGTACCACAAGTGGCTCTAAAAGAGGAGAGCTGACCATGCGTGCTACACCTGCAAACAGACAAAAGGATACTTATTTAAACTTTACACCAAGGAAAAATATATTAAAAATCAGTAATATTCAATAGAATAGACTAGGTAAAGATTCAGGATAGTCAAATCAAGGAGGAGAGGGGCAGGGGAAGGGGTATACATTTTAAACAATGCAGCAATTTTTAACTCTCCCTCTTCTCTGATGAATTCCTTTAGTTTTGGATATTTGCAATAAACACTGGAGATGGAATTGGGAGGATCTGTCAGCCAACGATAGTCAACTATCAGATTAACGAACTTCCTGGCAGATGGCTTTGTTGTAGCCATGCCATTGGTAGATCCATAAAGAGTTTCACATCCTGTATTGGAAGGTAGACTTTACACAAAATATCCCACCCAGGGTAATTAAATATACCAACACAAAATGTGTGACCACTTCTTAATTTACCCAAACCAATTCACATAACTTAGTAGGTCATGCAAATAGCCTGGTAAATTAGAATACAGATCAACATTAAATAAAACATTTTAATAAACTTATGTAGAGAAAAGAGACAATTTACATTCATTGATCCAATACCTTGAAAAACAGCACACCGGTTACCTGAACTTGAGATGTGTCTAGCTAAGGTACATAATGTAGCTGTATAATTCTTAAAGGAGATACAATAGCCAGTTATATAGACATGCAAATACACTACACACAATTAGATCAAAATTTTGAACATGGTGATAGATGCGATTGGACAGGACAACATACAGGAAAGAAAAAATATGGTATTGACCTGTTGCCATCTTTTCCATGCTGCCAACCACAAGACTGTCAAATACCTGGCCATGAATTCTTTCCAACATCTCACGTTGTTGCTTGGATGAACACACCAACATCTGTGCAAATATGTACCCTCCAATGGACATTGCATGGATGAAAAGTCTTCGAGAAGAAAGATCCTCTTCACCCATTATAAGATCTAACAACCGTTCTGCATGTTCCAGTCCTGTCCTAGGCCATAGAAAATGTGATAGCGAGCTCTCTGCCACCAATACATCAAAGCCCATCTTGAAGTACAGCTGGATATACTTTTCATGAGATTTAGCCTTCGAGCCCAGCCATGGAAGGAACATTAAAAGAGGACGAGAAGACTGGCTGCTTCCTGAGTTAGAAGGATTTATGTATAAAGAAAATAAATTAGAATATTTCTTTGCATTAAGAGGTTGCAGTAAAGTATTTGGAGCTTGTCCTTTTGGTACAGTTCCAGAAGCTGGTGCCATAGCAAGGTCAAGAGGCCGTGGACTGGCTTGGTACTGGAGGTAACGTCCCTGTAGAAGCAAAACATATAGATACTTATACAGACAAGTTATAATTCATTGTTAGTGGCACTTACATTTAACTGGAATTGTTCTGCAATGTTGAATATGTTTGCTACTCATTCAAATAGCTTCCATAGTTACTAAGAAAACTACTGGGATAAAGTAGAGAAAGGTCTTCAGCATATCAGAAAAGAAAAGAAAAAAAAAGTGTGACAGCAGTTAAATGTGAGCAGCTACTACTATCTATACCATGACCATAAGTGAGAACATTTTACAGATGTAGTAATAAATATTTATCAGTTACAGCCCAAGTCCACTGAAAAGAGATCTGTTAAATGATAGAAAGGCATGAATTACCTGCTAACAAAACATTAACGTCAGGAGGAAATCAGCATAGTAATGAGTCACTGACCCCAAACTGTTGATGCACATACAGTACCTGTTCTGGGGTACAGTCACTGACAAAGTTTTAAAAGAGAACTATGGCCCAAACTTTTTTGGCCATAGTTCTCTTTAGGGTCACAGGAGGACATTTACTATGTTCTCCTGTGACCCAAAACTCAGCATAGAGCATGCAGCATGCTAGCGACACGTCCAGGCAAGATCCTAACAGTATTTTTATTCAACATTTTTCACAATACAGGTGATGAAAATCACAGTTGCAGGACCCATACAATATAATGTGGCAGAGGACAAAATAACAAAAGAGGGAGGGGGGGGGGGGGGGGGGGGGAATAGACTGATAGTCACCGCTCTCTGCAGGGAGAAGATCGGGAACTCAGTGATTATGTGATCGCTCAGTTCTCGAACTATAGAGCTGACCTGTGACAGCTGCAGTGTCACACCTCGGTTTTAATTATGGGGATCCGTGCATTTCACTCTTCCCATAATTCTCCTTTAAACATGAAGGATCAGCATGACAGACCAAACTCAGAAAGAAAGGATAATCACAGCAACCTCCATATTTCCCTCAGCACAAATTTTCTTTAACATATCAGCAATTTTAATTGGTCATTTGTTTTTTATGGTTAAAAATGTACAATTGAAATGTAGCTATGCACACTTGTGAAAAAGGCCTTCAAAAATATATTTTTTACTGCTCATGTGATTGGCTCACTGCTTTACCTAGCATCTCATTAGAAACCCAGGACTGATCATGTAACTACATAGCTGGAAGGCCTTCCAAGGAATGAGAAAGCAATTATTTGTGTCAGGTTGCCTATCAACACAATTAAATGTGCTTAAAGGAGAACTATGGGGTCAGGGCTTTTCCCCATAGTTCTCCTTAGTGTAACGGGAATGACAGAATTTGTGCTCAAAAAGGCAGACAGAGGGCAAAGGACAAATCACCAGTATAGCCTGAAGTCTCCTTCCAGGTGATCTTTTCTATTACCGACTTACGGTGTTCTGTGTGGAGGCAGTTATCATGGTCGAGGGAGGACTTTACTTCCTCACATCACAGCCTTTAGCAAGAACCGTAGTCACCAAATTTCATGCCAAATTTTCAGAGATTAGCAATGCCTTGGATCTCGCATTGAAGATAGAGTCATGAGGCTGCATGCACAGGAGTGCCTAGGCCCCCTCAAATACCTGAACGTACACGGCTACATTTCAGGAGGAAGTCAAAACAATATGTACATTTTTAGGGTACCGCTTAGGCACACTTAAACATTTTTAGATGTCGCCTATAACATTAAATCTTCACATTTTGTGTTCAGTTCCACATTCAATTCTTGATGTGCAGCATATGTTCTCCAGAATGATGCCTTTTTGAAGTATAGGTAAACCTAAAATGTAAAAAGTCAAGGAATACATTTACCTGTCCCATATACGAGAGATTTGTATTCCTTTTGTTTGAGTAAAAACGGCAAAGCACAGTAAATAGCCGTCCCCCTCCAGACTAAAATGTCTTCCTGTTCCTTATTGACAACACTAACCACGGAAACAGATCCCTGCTAGCATGGTCAGGTTGTGAGCCTTATACTTCTGGAGGGACCTACAGGGTGCGCTATGGACACGTCAGGCCTCTAGCTCTGTAGTCTGCCAGTGATTTTTTCCGCTCAACTTTGCACTATCCTGTTATAACATCAGCATTGTAATAGGAATACATACTAGAGAGTTGTTTTTCACAATGCTTCCCTTTTATGTAGTGAGTGCTGCCTTCCGTCTGCCTATCACTTCTGCCCAACTTCCTGGAATCCCAGTGTGCTTTGCATTTATTTCCCTCCTGCTTAATGTGATGCAATCTCCATTTCTTAAGACTACATAGCCCATAATGCATTGCTTCTAGCAAGCAATGATAATGTTACATTGTTCAGACATTGAGTTATAGTTCAGACAGCAGGTTGTGTGAGTTGTGACAAATCCTATGGCCATCTTCAATAAGTAAATTTACAATCTTCTAGATTGATATGGTTTGTTTTTAGTTTTTGACCATAGATACCCTTTAATACCCTATAATTGTTTAATAATAATCATAGTTCCCCATCATGGCACTGGCAACTGTAACCTCATGCCCTCCCCCAGGGCAAGAATGATGGGAGCTGTGCGTAGATGAAAGTCATTTTAAGGTAATTTGCAGCCTTTTTTGAACCTTCAGCAATGATGTATTTTGGATCATGTGCTGTGTATATAATGTGATATTCTGCATGTTAGCGGCAGACGTCACATAAGCTTTGTTTTTTGAGCAAACAGAAAGGAGGAGTTTTTTAAAAAAGATTGTTAGTTTACCTTTCAAAGTTAATGAATGAAAAAGAAGTGTTTTACCTGGTCATGTGGCTACATGTTACACGTGACTGGGCAGCAACTATCAATGGATATTCTCTATATAGAAGGGATAGGGAAGGAAGAAGAGGGGGAGGAGTATGCCTGTTTGCCAGAAATGACCCGACAGTGAAGTAAGGGATGTTATAGCACAGGAAACCGGGGATAATGCTGAGTTACTATGGATAGAAATGGAAATGAAGGATAAGAAATGGAAACTACTGATGGGAATATGCTACAGGCCTCGGAAAGCAACACTTTTTTTTTTACCAGAGTTTGTTAAAAAAAAAAAAACTGTGATGCATGAAAACAGTGCATCACACTGACCCCTGCCAGACTTTATACGAGCCCGCACACTAAAACGCAACAAGAAAAATGACAATGTTGTCACCACAGAAGCCTGGACCGCATTGACACTATCCACTGCCAAGAGGGCTTCCCATATTTCACCATTACTATTAGGGATGCACCGATACTAGTATCGATGCCGAAGCCGAGTATTTGGGCGAGTACTCGCCCAAATGCTCCGATGTCTAGCCTGATACTTCCGGTATCAGGAAGCCGGGCAGCGCGTCATTACACTGATTGGCCAACAAGCCGGCTCCATGCTTTGCTGATTGGCCGGCAAGCACGCCAGCAGAATCCCATCGTGAATGTGAACAGCTGTTACATACAAGGGTTCAACCGGCTCTACAGCCAGCTTATCGTTTGTATGACCATGCGCAGTCCTCAGTGCTGCTGTGCTCCCCCTCTCCTGCCGGTTATCCCAGGCACCACTGTCCCCACTGCGTGCCCGGGACCGAGAACACCGGCACATCAGCTGCCGGTGCTGAGAAGGAGGAGAGATCAGCATTCCCCCACCGCTGATCTCTCCTCCTCTCTCTCTAAAGGCGGATGCGATGTGTATTACCGTACATCACTTCTGCCTTTAGCTGTCATTTCTCTGGCTGGGAGCCAGAAAAGAAGCTGGTGAAGCAGATCAGCTGGTGTCCCAAGGTGACATTAGCGATCTAAGAGACCCCTGATGTCTCCATGAAGAGGACCTGTCATTGTATATTAGCAATCAAGTGTAAACGTAAATACGCGTCAGGTGCACCAACTTGCAAAAACAACAACGATTACGCCACACGATACATATTGTCGCGAACGTCGCAGTGAGAGCAAATCATTTTAGGGCCATTAATCACTGATAACACTAAATAGATGAGCGGTAAAATATTTTAAGGTGTCGCCTATTGGCAATTTTAGGCATGGTATTTTTTTTTGCAATTTCACAGGTGGACACAATTTTAAAGTTTGACATGTTTGATGTCTATTTACCCGACGTGACCCCGTCTTTTATATTTTACCAAAAAATTGGGTGCCGATAAATGTTTTATAACAGAACGTAGGGAAAACAGGGTTTTGTTTCAAAATGTTCAGTACTCTTTTCATTATATAGTAAAAAATAAAAACCTCAGTGGTGATTAAATACCACCAAAAGAAAGCTCTATCTGTCCCCAAAATATGGTATAAAATTCACTTCAGTACAGCGTTGCATGACGGAAGGAATGTTATTCAAAGTGCGGCAGCGCTGAATACTGAAAAATGGCCTGGCCAGCAAGTGGTTAACAACTGATTAACTCATCTGCCCTTACTTGATCTAGTGACAAAAGAAATGTAGAGCTTGAGTTGTTCTCCCTCACCTATGTTATCTTACCTTTCCACAATGAGATGATGACATGAAATGATGTCAAATACAGAATTTCTGTTGTAGATGAAGAACAAGAGCTCCGATTGTTCCCAGCAGGCTCTCGATGCTCACGAGTCCATTGCCACCCACTTCTCCTCCCTTTGCTTTAGGTAAGAGTCATAAACACTTCCTATCTGCTGTTAGTACAAAAGTCAGAAAGATCTGAAATCAACTGACCTGTCCTACAAATGACTAGATAAGGGAAAGAACACCCTCGTTCTGCAGCTTTCCTAGTCCCCATTCTCTTTACAAAGGTCACTAAGCTGAAGAACTATGGTACAGTAGAATTTGAAATAAAAGCAGTTGCCCCGTTTATTTCCACCATTTTAGAACTCAGGGGAAAAAAAAAATCATACTGCAAGGGTTAAGTGCTTGTGATAAAAAAAAAAAAAAAAAAAAAAAAGGGTATACTCACCTGATCCTTGGAGACAGCTGGCTCTTAGACCGGCCCTTCCAGCCTCTCTCCCCCTCTGATGCAGTGGTCTAAGGTCCCCAAGTCATCACGTTCTATACACAGTGTATAGGGCATGAGGACGTCAAGGGACATTCCATCACTGCAGCGGAGGAGACAGGCTGGAGGTTCGGGTGAGTAACTTTTTTTTTTTAAACTAGACACAAACGAGCACTGCAAGGGTTAAGAAATGTTGTCCCCCGTCCCCCCCCCCCCCCCCGGCTCTGTAAAAAA